AACCAAACTTTGCGCAAAATGTTACAACGTAAACCTGACGTCCAAATTGCCCCACAGGTACCAGTTTTGTCAAAAATGTCGTACATGCTGGAATCGCCACGTCAATGCTGGGAAAAACATTCTCTACCTGGGAGAATGTATCATTAACCAAGAACAAAAACACGAGAATTTTCACAAATAAGATGTGATTATTTCATTTATGGCGAAAAATATGTACATCGAAAAAGATGCGCCCAGTGCCCTCATTCTCCTGGAACGCCCTCAACTGAGGATGCATGTTGGAATTATCACTGATTTCCAAAAAAGCGAATTCAAAAGAAAGAAACCCTTTGGCTTAGCGCCTTTGGGCACAGCCTAATCCAATTGAACAGCCAGAACGCTGCAAAAAAAAATTTAAGATTACTAAGGTATCAAAACGACGAATGATTAGAACCATACAGTGGAAACAAGTGGATGGTAAAAAAGTACAGCACAACGTTTCACCGGTGAGAGATGAGCCTGGCAAGCCCACAACCTACCTTGCGCGGAGCAAGGTAGTCTACGTTGACTTCACGCTAAAATGGCTAATGGTAGTAATTTCAAGCTGTGAAACATGTGGTACTGTACCAGGATAGATGGAGGATAGTTCGTGATTACCAGGGTCGAAGGTTCTCGTACATACCTAACGAAATCCCGACGTCTAAGCCGATATAGCCGAAGTTGTTGCGCTCGGCGAAACTAAACGCTAACGATCAGGATCTGAATTGTTGTTGTCACCCAAAGGTAATATAAACACTCTGGAGGTTGGAAAGTTAGACAATGCCATCAGGTCCAGTACCGAGTAGCCGAGGCTATGCTTACTCTGCAGTTGGAGGTGGGTAGTTCAAAAATATTGAAGGTAATGCAAGGAGCAGTGCTGTACCCGAGAAGGATACTATTTCGAATTAAAGGGAAAGTTCTGCAATTATATGTACCTTCACCACAGTAAAGAGGACTTTGCCGAGTTACTACTTACATTAGGGGGGTTGGGTGTATGGGATGCCTACGGGGTGGCTCTAGTGCAGTAGCTTTCAACTTCATACTACAATTAAAGATATCACTAGGCCATAAGGGAAAATCGAGGTTGAGAATCTCTGAGTTTAATTGATTTTTAAGTTTTTGAGAATACGATTTCGATATCCATATGACCTCATTACGTCTAGATTAAGGTTCAAACGCCTTACTTCGAATGATATATATATTTTTTTACCACCAATGCTGAAAGATCAGTAAATTTCACGTCCACATACGGTTTGATCGTCTAGTAAAAATGACTTATGGAGGTCGTTTAGAGGTCAAGTCCTTTTTTGTAATCTCAGCTGACATTTCGCCGTTTATCGATTTCTAAAAGTTATTTTCTTATTTTATGAAATCTTATTTGCCTAGACTTAAATAAATAAATACGCAGCTACTTAACTACATATTTTACATTGGTACACTTTGTTTTCTTTCGCAGTTCTGGCAGATGTCGCCCAGAAGTCAAGTGAAAAATCACAAAACCCAGACAGCGTTGACATAGACTACTACGATGAATCGAGTCCTGAAAATATGAAGGTGCCAGGCAAGCCTGCGCCCACACTAATGCCATATTTTGAGGAGGAGAAGAAAACTGTGTATGCCAAAGAGGACACTAAAGTGGTTTTGCATTGTCCTGCCAAGAATTATAATGGTAAGCTATTAATGAGAAATGTACGATGGAAGAAAGAGGTAAAAAATTAAGCACGCATACACACTTACATATGGGCTGCCATGTGTATCTGTGTGTTTGCTAAGTGAATATATAGTGACTAATAGAAGTATTCACATGTTGATTTTTTTTTAATATTTGCTATGATTTTCAAGTTAAAATTTTTTCTATTTCATAAAGCTGCTACTTTATAAATGTGAAAGTTTGTGAGTGTGTGAATATGTTTGTTGTTCTTTCACTCTGAAGCGGCTGGACGTATTTTAATAGAATTTAGCACGCAAATAGTTTATAACCTGCGTTTTTAAAAAGTGAATATCAGTTAATTAATTAGTTAAATAATATATTTCAACAGTGTACATGCCAAACGAACGGGAATCCAAAATTATTTCTTTCGAAAATATTTTTTAGGGGTTTGCCACCCGTTCAAAAATTTAAAATCGATTAATTAATAAGGTAATAATTAAATAAAGTTGCACAATACTGCGGCTGACAAACAAAATGGTTTGAAAAACGATTTCTTTGGAAAATATTCTTTAACCCAGCTTTGATAACCTACATACTTCTGCGTGACGTTGGCTTTTCACACTCGCTCTCTCTTTCGCTAAATGGAGACTGAAATCGGGGGTATTTCTATTTTAAATGAAGAATATCTATACAAAAATTTTTATAAGGGGTCTTTATTAGATAAATAGGAGCCAAATCAACAATTTTTAGAATTTAGAATTTTTTTTAAGAATTTATGTAGCTGTCTGTATGTTTGTACGCC